AAGTTATAGTCTTTTGTAACCTAATCACAGAAGTAACATCCTATCTCATTTTTGCTGTTTCTGTTGGTTAGAAGCAAGAGAATAGGATCAGTGTGTCCCAAATCAGGCAGAGTGTATGCAAGGACATGACCAGGGGGTGGGGATCATTGGGAGCCATGTCAGAAGCTGCTGATGACAAATAGGATTTATGGTTAACATTCATTGAGTATGTGGCAGGCATACTCTTCTTTGACTCTGCTAAGACCTTTCTCATACAATGCTCACAAAAATTCTTTTGAGTAGATAATGTTTTTATTTCTATTCTAGGGCTTAGAAAGGTTAAGTAAACAGTAAGTGACAGTGGCAGGATCTGAGTCCTGGTTTGTAGGCTCCAAAGTCTTGCATCAAGAGCCAACTTCCTCATTTCTCCATTCTTAGGGCTCAGCACAGGCTCTGTGACATAGGAGCTTAGTAGGTATTGAGTAGCTGCTAAATGAATAAACGAATAAAGACAGATCTGAGTCACACTATAGCTGCTTTTGTCCAAACTCTGGTCTTAGGCCTTGATCCAATTTAAATAACGCATAAATTTCCATGTGGTTCAATAAAGCTGAATTATATCTAATCATTGAGGAGAGCTCTAATTCAAGTACAGGATCCAGAAGAGGAGACACTATTTTGTAAAGTGTTCTCATGTGGTACAAAACAGACTTCATTGCTACTGAGAACTTTAAAAGGTTATTCAAGAGATTAGTGCGCCAGAACCCAAGAAAAGAGATTATGGAGTTATAAGAGAGTTTGCCACAGATTCGAGAAGAGTATTAGAATAGTATTTGGAAAGTGGGCCAAGTAACTGATTGTTGGCAGGGTTTTTCACCAGACTTCCTTTTCTTAAAGATGAATGGGATTAAAGCTAGCAGGCAAATGACTAGCTGAACCAAAGATAAACCGATGGTGTGCCTGGTTCAGAATGGATTAAGAGAGCTTAGGCCAACTGGGACTGAGGACAAAGAGGTGCCTCTTCCTGCTTCCAGCACGTCTTGACTCAATAACTCCTTTTAGCATTTCTCCACTTTCAGGATCCATTGAGGTGCTTGGGCCAATAGATGTTATGGATAAGAGACAAACCTGGCCCCATGAAAGTCAGCATTTGAGGATGTTAGTGCAGTACATAGCTCTGGGCCATTCATGAACTGCTTTCTCATGGACCCTCCTAAAATGAATCTCTGAGGTGAATTTGTCAAGAAGACTGAACAGACCCATTACGTGACTAGACCCTTCTCTCCCTATGGGAAAACCATGTGATGATCAATTCAACTAAGTTTCCCCGGTGAGAATGGACCACAATTCCAGTGTTTAATGGCATGGGGATAATAGTTGGGCAGCCAGTAGGGTGGTGGACTCTTAGGGCCAGGGTCTCCCCTTCTTGGGTTGCAGGCTCTCAACTCTTGCCTCTCTGAGTCTCACTTTTCTGCATTCCAAGTGGAGTTCCTTCCCCCTTCTGATGGACACTTCTTTTGTTGATGTTATTGTTGTTGTTCTGAATTAATACCATGGGTACAAATGAAGCTAATTTGTTTCTCTCTGCTCAGCTGGCTCAGGAAACATCTTGTCTCTGTGGTACCATTTGCACAACTGACCTCATATATTATTTATTGGTTTTATAATTTAGCCCAGCCTTTCCGATGCCTGCAGGATGTCATCTGCTCATGGGCCTTATTATCTCCCGGTTATAAATAAAGGAACGAGTCTTAGAGCAGGGGATTTTCCAGGGTAGCACAGCCAGTAAGTAGGAGACTCCATGCAGGTTTTCTGACTCCAAACTCCGAGTTCTTTCCACTCCCACTCCTGCCCCTATGCTGGTTCCCCACAGAGTCATGGTCAGGGGAATCCCATTGCTCTGCCCCCTTTATTATACAGTTACCTGTGTGTGTGCTGTATTGGTTGGTGAGGTTGGGCCATGATGAGAGGGGTAATCTAAGAGAAGCCAAATAAAGAAGAAATAAACTTAAAGAAAGAAGGGACCAAACAAAACAGGAGGGTGGAGGTGTGGTGTCCCTCTTCCCATCTTAGGGAAAAAATGAGCAATTTAGGGATATGGAGGACTTGAAACAGGTGCAAAAATGGAGGATGCCATGACCTGGCCTCATTCCCTGGCCAGGTCAGCCATAGCTTTGTCCATCATTTTTTCTTCACTGGAGCATTTCTCTTACTAATGAATGGCTGCTTGGCTGGGTGACAGAAGCTGTTGTTCTGCCATCAACAATACTTAGCAATGAGGGGCTTGGCAGGGGGTTCCAAGTACGAGCAACCCTCGATATGGTGTGCACCCTGATTCATTTTCAATCTAAAAATAAAGTTTGATCAAATAAAAAATGTGATTAGGAATAGTTGTGTGCTATCCAGATAGAACATCCTCTGGCATACTCTCATCTCTTTCCATCTCTGCTGATGCCCCAGAGCCTTTTAGCAGTCCCCAAGCCTCTCCAGATGGCCTCTTTGGACCCACAAAGCCTTGCTCTACTGGAGTGTCCACCATCATCTGCCGTGGTCCTGGCAACTTCTCCTCTTCGCCCATTAGCAGGAGAGTAGTGAATCAATGAGTGCCTCAGAACACATCTTCAGATCTCACCTTCAAGGAGCAGGGAGAGGTAGGAATCATACCTGTTCTGGTCCTGGATGGCGCATTCTGGCAATGCAACCAATTCAAACAACCACCACAACAGGTGAAATTAACTCCACAAGGCCAACCCAGATTTATAATAGACATTTGGCAAATCTTCATTGAGCCTATACCATGGTCTAGCTGTTGGGCTGGGCAGGTACCATGGGGAATAAAAGTTGAAGTCAAACAGGCTCCCAACGGGGCCAGCTCCTTCCCTCCCTCCCTGATTCTGCCTTTCCATGAGGGAAAGTTATGGGTGCACATCTCGTGGTGATGAGGTGATGGGAAAATGTCAGTGTTCCTAGCACAGGTGGTGGGAAGGCATGTTCCTACTGTTAAGATAAGGGTATAGTTAAAATCGTTCTGAAGAGACTCTGTATAATATCTCTTTGCAGATTATAGTATAGAACAACATCCAGAGAGAAATGACTCTCTTTCTTATTAAATTGAAAAGACTCTTTCTGGGGTTATAAATAAGTTCTTCATCACTCACTGGAGTAATGAAGCTTATGAATCTTCTGCCCTGAAGTTTTGCGTCCCAGCTTGCCTTTCCCTACCATCCAGCTTGTGCCAACTTCATGCTACCCATCATCAATTCATGTACATTTAAAGAATGAAAAATAATTTTAATATTTGCCAAGGTAAAAAGTAATTATGCTGGTAGATCTGCTATTTAAAAAGGCATGAACAAAATCTCCAGACTAAATAGAAATTATTTCTGGGTTGCCTTCTGTTTTCAATTATTTCTATTATTGATCTCTTCTATTATCATGGCTAATCAGAAGTTGATCATATTTTAAAAACACAAGCCAAAACAAAGCAGAGTAAACAAAAAACCATAGCTAGGGGACAAAGTAGGAGGAAAAAAATGAAAATGAACCATATAGGTGCTTTGTCAATCATCATTCTCTCCATTCATCCATCTACCCATCCACCCATCCATCCATCCAATAGTTAGTGTGCCTATACGTGCAAGGCACAATTCCAGGAGCTGCTTGACAGGGCAGAAAATCTGACAGGCTTTAGAGACACACTGGCCTGAGTTACAATCCTAGCTACATGCCATCTGGTAATGCTATTTTTCGTACTCCTTGCTGCATCACCCGCTAGCTGCCCCATCTTTCTCTCTCATTCATGGGAGAATTCAGTACCTGGCTTACTCTATATTCCTGTCCTTGACACTGTCAGCATGTTCAGTGTCTTTAGCATCCATACTGATGACTCATCCAATACCATGGCCACTCCGTTCTGACCTCATTTTCATTCACCTTTTAATTTCCGAAATAAATGATGGAACTAGATAGTGCCGGCCACTATTCTAGATGCAAGGGCTATAGGAGTAATGGGATAGACATGATCTTCCCCCTCGTGGAATTTATAAAGGTGGAAAGGTGCAAAACTAAGCAAGCAAACAAAAAAATCTTGTCTTGACGGTTGCTATTAAGTGGAATAAATGACCTACTCTGGATAGAGAATAGGACTGAAGGTTTGAATTTGCACAGCAGGGTGAACAAAGTCCTCTCTGAGATGATGAAATATTGAATAGAGACTTGAAAAATGAAAAGAGATTGACCATGCAAAGAGCCGGGGGAGAAACAATTTAGGAAGAAGAAACCAGGAGTCCAAGAAGGCTTTGGGGTAGTGATGAGCATGGAATGTCCAAGGAATAGACAATTGGCATGAGTTGCTTAAGCAGTGAGTGGAGAGGGTGGTACTGGATGACAGGAATTTGTGAGGTATATGTGTGTGCCTTTCTTGATTTGGTTGTTTGTATCTTATGTGCACAAAATTCAATTGATCTTCATCTTAGTGTATTATACTCTAACTTTGCAAGTCTGTGGCTGCTCTCTTTAAAATTTTTTAGTATATTATTTTCCCATTTTATCTCCAAATTTCCAATTCCCCTACCTCCCATAACTTCCATTTTTGTACATTTATCTTTCAAATATATTTATCTTTTGTATATATTCTTTCATTCTGCTTTCCATATATCCACTTACATACATGTATCCATGTGTGTTGTATTTTAAAGTACTTGAATTCATGATATTATTTAGGTTAATGTATAATTGCTGTTTATTACTATCATTTAAAAAATGAATGAATAGATGAATATTTTTAAATGACTCAGTTTTAATCCCTCACACGATAAATGATCAGTCTATGCAATTCTCATAAAATCTTTTTGGGATCCTCAAAAAGTTCAAATACTGTCCTGAAATGAAACATTTGAGAATGGTTGCTCTCAAGAATGGCCAGCTAAAATTGGGGAGAAATCTGAGGATTCTAACTTCTTTTTGAACATAAAATTTATTTGCTTTTCTTCTCTCTTTTATCCTTTCCTTTCAGAGGTTCCTATATCTCAGACAGTAAAGCAGAGAGACAGACAGAGCCTGTGCTCCTGAATACATTGTTAAGCTGCTGACTCAACCAGCCCCAAAAGCCGGAGCGGCTCCGGAAATGCTTCCTGTTATGTAAGTTCATAATTTTCTCTGATTTGAGATGGTTGTTCATTTCAGGTGAAAACAAGGAAAGCTGAGAGAGAAAGTGTTTCAAGTATCCAGGAGCAATTGACTCTGAGATGATGAGCCCTGAAGGCTGTCCTAGAATTTGGCAACCCAAGGCCATAGGTGACCTTGACAGGCCATTTTCAGTGTTGCAAACCGGGTTAACGTGATGTCTGGCATACCTACGCTCCTGCCGTAGTTCCTTTGTCTTTTTTTTTTTTTTTTTGTCTCCTTTGTCTTCCTTCCATACCAGACCACAAAATGCTGGGGTTCTTCTCACCTTAGTCTGGGTTTTCTTCTCGTTATATTCTTTTATTTTATATATCATTCTTTCCCAAAGATCTAAATCTCATTTTATGTTGCTCTTGCCCCAGATTGATATTTCCAGCCCAGATCTCTCTCTCTGCATCCACATTCACATATCCAACTGCTCACCAGCCATCTCCAGCTGAACATTCCCTAGACATGCCCGATTTAACCTGCTCAAAGCGGATGTCCTGATCTCCCCACCCTGCCTGCCCTGCTCCCTTCCCTCAGCTGTCTCTGTCTCAGCTCACACAAGCCCCATGTACCCAGCTGCTTGAGCCAGAACCTAACCGTCACCGTTGATTCCCCTCGTTCCCTCTCTCCCTGATTCTAACCATTAGGAAGTTTTATTGATCCAATCTGCAACATGGAACTGAAGTCTAGTCTTCTCTCCTTGTGCAGTACCATCCCCTTGATGTTAGCCATATCACATTTCTTGCCTGCATTATTACCAAAGCCTCCCAGCTGGCCCTCCTCTATTCTTGCTCTATTTCCATTCTTTCTCTCCTCCACCCAGAAGACTGCTCTTCTAAAAAAAACAAAAACAGAAACAAACAATGCAGATCATGGTACTCTTCCTACTTTAAGTCCTTCAACTGCTTTTGTCTCTATTATAAAATCCAGACTCCTTCCCATAACCTAAGGGCCCTGCCTGCTCGGGCCCCTGCTATTTCCATATTGTGTCGGTCCTCTCATCCCTGCTCGCCTCAGTCTAGCTTATACCGATCTTTTAGTTTCTTGAACAATTTGCTTATTCTACTTTGGATGCTCTTCTCACCTCTCACTGCTTGGAGACCTACTTCTATCCCTTTAAATCTCAGCTAAATGTAATTTCTTTAGCAAGGCATTTCCATCTATTTCACCTAAAATCAGTTTGCCAAAGTGTTATCTCCTGCTGAGTTCTTTGTTTGGTTTGATTATTTTTTAAATTTATTTTTTTGTTTGTTTCATAGCATATATAACAATTCAGTCACTATATAAAACTATTTCTAAATACAGTGGGGCCTTGACTTACGAGTTTAATTCGTTCTGAGACCGAGCTCGTTAAGGAGCTCGTTAAGGAGCTCGTTAACTCAAATTACTCTGTCAACTCAATGCAAAAAATCAGCGGAGAGACAGCTGGTATCTCAAAAAACTCATTAGTCGGGACACTCGTAAGTCAAGGCCCCACTGTATTTTGTTTTTGGCTGCCCAGTAGAAAGGGTCTCACAGTTGCTAAGTTCTCTCAGGTGAAAGGTGGTCCCATGATGGCCTTGGCTCCCTTATAAAGGACCAAGAATTTGCTTCTTAGAAGAGTTCAGTAGCTCTTAGTTACCCAGAGAAAAAATAACCAGAGAAAAACACCAGAGGCCATGCTGACTCTTGGAACACCAGAATAATTATTTTTGAACTTTCCCAACTGAACCCGTAAGAGATTTATTTAATAATGTTAGATCCTTTTAAGGATTCAGTCTTTTGTCATGGATTTACTGGGCATGTTACTGAACCACATGTCTTGTGACTCCCCATTCTGATTTTTAATAACAGTGAATCGATAACCTTGTGCCCATTCTTTGAAGGCTGCAGCTCAAGTGTATCTGAGAGGGCCCCCAGAGGGAGGGGGGAGAACAGGGACCCAATCCTGGGATTTCAGTGGCAACATTTGATGGACACGGTTACGTCAGTGGTGGGGATGCTGAGCTGATATCTACACAGTCAGATGATAACAGACTCAGTGAATATTTGAGCCCCGAGTGCCCACCTCCTCTTCTGGCATCTTAGCAGAACAGGAATTTGGATGATGGAGCTCTAGGGGGATCTCCGTGTTGGGATGTCCTGGAAGACAAAACCAAAAGCAAGCCGTCCTTCCTCTTGGTAGCAAAATGTTGATAATCTTCATAGAAAAGAAGAGGAAAATGTCCTTGGCGGTGCCAATCCTGGAGGAGGGGCTAGGAAGGAACTGTGGCCCAATGTCCTATGCAGCTCCTGAGGCAGCAGTTCCTACCCCTGAGAGTCATTGGCTGCAGGCTGTACCTGGGGCAGGCAGGTCCTTGGGCCCAGGGCAGTTCTCTGGAGAAGGGACAGCTGTGAGCAGTTAGCAGCCAATATTCACAGCAGCTGAGGCACCCATATAAAAAAAGGACCCGGATGGGGCCCTGACATAGCCACGATAGCCCCTGTCCCCGGAGGGGTTGCTCCTCAGCCAATTCCACCTTTCCTCCTTGTCTGCAGACCTCTCTTGGTCCCTTGGCTACTCCAGGTAGAGCTCCTTTAGGAGAAAACTTGGCCTTATCCCCTTTTCCCCTCTCATCCCCGGAAGCTGGCACCATCCTTAGCACAGAGGAGGTAAGAGTACTGTTCCTTGGTTTCCTAGGTCCCTGCCTCAGGGATCGTCCTTCTCTATGCTCTCCCTGTTGCCCTCTGTTCACTTCACAGACTCAGGTCAAGGTCATTGACTAAATCATGATGTTGGGAGACTTTGAGGAGTCACATGTGAAACGTGGGCAATACTCAGTAGAATTGAGATCCTTCAGCCTTGTTTTTTGGTTATATATGCCTTTAAAAAGTTTATTTAAAGCAAATTGTATGTTAAATTTCTCCTTCCTACCTCCCAAATGGCACAGTGGAAGACAATTTTGCTGTGCCCCTCTTGGAGAGAGAAAAAAAACCTAGGAGATCCTAAAGCAGAGTAATTATTTCCATCAGCAGGAACTCAGCACTGTGTGTCTGAACCGCAGAAGTTCTTGGAGAGCCTGGCTGTTTAATTCATTTAAATGCCATTTGCATGTATTCGGTGCTGAGAGGATCACTTTGGGAATTTGCAATGAAAGAGAAGTCAATGGAGAGAAAGGAAAGAAGTGACAGAGACTCAGAAGGCTGGGGAGTGGGTGATATTTGAGAGGTTTCAGTGTTTATTAGCAACCGCTCGGGAGCCTAGGAAGACGCTCAGCCTGACACCTTGCACTCCCCACTAGGCTCCTGAGCCACGGAGAAGCCAGCGAGACACAGGGTGTGTCAGGCTTTTGGAGACACGCTGTGATCACTCGGGGTGAGTGAGGGTTGCGTCACAGCCTCCCCAGGTGAACATTTCTCCTTGCCTGTAAGAAAAGCAACTTGGGGAACTGCATAAACTTTTCCTGGCTGCCCCTAGGGCTCTGCAGCTGCAAGGTGATGAGTGAGTGAGTGCGCCCATCAGACAGCCAACTGATGGGCTGGGGGGTCTGTGGGGCCATGTGTCATTCATCTTATGTAACTGGCACTTCAGGGTAAAAGGAGGTACAGTGGGGCCTTGACTTACGATCGTTCAGAGACTGAGCTCGTTAAGGAGCTCGTTAACTCAAATTACTCTGTCAACTCAATGCAAAAAATCAGGGGAGAGACAGCTGGTATCTCAAAGAACTCCTTAGTCGGGACACTCGTAAGTCAAGGCCCCACTGTAAAATGAGTCTTCCAGGAGCTTCTAGACTCCCCTTGTATTCTTTCCCCCATGTCAGTGTCCACAGGTGTCTTCCGTCTACACTCAATTGCTCCATCTGAAGATTGTTTTCACAGTAGGATTTTATTTTTAAATGAAATTCAGACGTGTAAGCACCTCTATGGGCGAGGCCCTTGGCTATTGATGGGGACTCAGATTACAGTTCTGTAGGGGAGACAGACATGTTAATAGATGTGGGCACAGGACAGGTGGTATTAGAAAGGAAGGCGCTCTGTGCAAAGGCTTGGAAGTCTAAACACCACCAGCGTTCAGGGCTGGCCAAGCAGTTTGAGAAGGGAGTCGGGGTGTATGGACTTGGCTTGAGGTGAGGATGTGGCTGAAGAGCTTGGCAGTGATCCTGCCATAAAAGGCATTAAGATCATTCATATGAAGGGACAAAGGTGCATTGAGACTTCAGTGTGATGTTTCTCAATCGTAATTGTAATTGCTGGGAGTGGGGATGAAAATTAATGACAACTCCCAATGGTGGGATTTTTGGAGGCAAAACACTAGTAGGGGTGTTTTTTCTTGAGCAAGGAAGTTTCCCTCGCTCCTACTTTAGGCTGCTTCTGAACTAGCTCTGGAATATATCCACTTGGATATATTCACCATAGGTTTGCTGAGCCACTTACTATATGCTCAGAATAATATATGTGGCTGAGAAATACCAGTGTCCCAGGTCATGGAGTCCATTGGGCCAGAGCTCTACTCGCTGCCAGGACTAACTGCCCATCACGCCTGGCTTGGCGTAAGCCGGATTCATTCTTAAGTCTCTAAGGCTGCAGTGTATCCATGGCACGTGCTCAATAAAGGTTTCATCATTGAATAACTAGTACATACAAAAATCATTTGTGAACAAAAGTTACAGGAGAGTCATTTGCGGGTCTAACTTTAATAATTATCTTCTGGGCCAGGCAAGTGTAGCTCAGTGGTTGAGCGTCGACCCAGGAACCAAAAAGCCATTGGTTGATTCCAGGTCAGGGCACATACCTGGATTGCTGGCTCGATCCCCAGTAGGGGATGTGCAGGAGGCAGCCAATAGATATTTCACTCTCATCAGTGTTTCTATATCACTATAGAAAAATCAATAAAAACATATTTAGAAAAACACACCTATCTTCTGGAATTTGGGAGTGTGGGGGATTGACCTAAGCTGAGCAAAAACAATCTGATCGTGCTTCTTTCCTGAATGGTTTTGGAGTAAGCC